TCTTTGGTGCTTCCTTCCCCCCACCATCATGACCTCAATTCTACCTTACAAATCAGATTAGACGAGAGCATGCACACTGCTACAGATAAGAGCCGAAACATAGGCAATCCAGGATAGATAAACCCCTCAGGGCCAACAAGGAGAGTAGAGATACCAGGAGTATCAGGAGAGGGTGGGCATATAAAGGGGGAATCGATCACAAGGATCGACCTAGAACCCCCTCCCAGGGAGACAAACAAGGGAAAAGTGGGTGAGGGGCAACAGAGGACGATGTAAGACTGCAACCCTTTATGAGAGTAGAAAGCTTTGTCTTCCTCTTGAGGAGCGTGGGGTGGTTTTGAACTGCCGGATTTTGCAGTTAGCAGCCCAACATGTAACCACTACGCCACCAGAGAGGAGCCCCCATGCCCCCCACCCCCCAGCTTATAGCTCCTCCAGACCCTTCGTGAGAGATGCAACACCCCCTCCACCCCCCCACCCCCCGTGTGCCTGACCCTGGGTGAGTTGGCACGTGCACTGCCAGGGTGTCCCTTCTTAGTTCTTGCCTGTCCTGATCCCAGGAGGAGGGACTGCTGGTGCCAACTGGCCGAGGGGAACTGGCTTTCAGAGGAGAGGATGGCAGGAGATGGCAGCTTGAGGTGCCACAGGAGGGAAACACTGAAGATAAATTTCACCCGAGGGCCCCTTGGCCTGGTCACACAAATGTTGTTTCTTCCTGGGCCAGCACCTGCTCCTGGCCTGTCTCAGCCTTCCTCCCCTGAGGCTTGGGCACACAGGGACCCTGTGCGGAAGGCCTGCTGGTCTCTGTAGGAGGCTGGGTGGGGGCAGGGAGGCAGGGCTGCCTTGGGTCCCTGGGAGCTCCTTTCCCTTGTGGAACCTGAGGCCTAGAAAGACCCAGCCACCAGGAGGGCTGCACAGAAAAACAACGGCAATGTGGAGAAGGGTGGGGCGGTGGCTAGAAATGGCTCTGGGCAAGGCTGATAAGCCAGGGTGTGGGCGAGGGGTGTCCTTTGGTGAACAGAAGACCCCCAAGCAACAGGCTGGGTCCAGGAAGCAGATACAGGGTAGGGGGAGTGTGGCCCAAAGCCCTTTCCTCAGCCAGTATTGACAGCATGCTGCCCTGCATTTGTCCCTCAACCCCGCACCCCTAGCGGGGGCTTATCCCTACCCCAGGGAGAAGGGCTATGCCAAGAATGTGGCTGGCAGCTGGCCCTGGCATGAGGGTGGGCAGAAGGGCATGTGGCTGGGGTGGGGAGAGGGCCTCTTGCTCCCCACACTTGCTCCCCAGCTCCCCCAAGCAGCAGAAAGGCCAGAACACTTCCTAGGGCAGCCGTGGGGAGCTCAGACGAGCCTGTGACCCCCAACAAATGTGGGGAGAGGGGACAGCTCCTTGCTGCCAGCAGCCCCTCCCACCAGCCAGAGAGAAAGCACTTGTTTATAGACCGTCCACCCAAGGCCCAGACCACAGCTCCAGAGGCTGTTCCGGGCTGGAGCTGGAGGCTGGGGTTCTGAGCATCAGGTGAATAAGGACCAGCAGCTCAGCAGTAGAAAGAGCTCGCTCAGAAACCTGGTCACTGGCCCCAATGGAATGTTTATTATCCTTCTTGAGCCTTAGTTTTGAGAGGTGGGTTGGTCATTTGAGCGAGCAGAGCCCCCCCCCACCTCCCGGTCAGTGCTCAGCCGAGTGCTACAGCAGGGCCCGAACCTGGGGCAGCCAGGTAGACTGAATCCCTGTGGCTGTGACTCCCCAGGTTCTGAGCCTTCAAGGGGCCAACAGAACTGTCTGGCTCAGAAGAGCTTGGAAGGAGGCTCTTGGTGAATTTGCGGTTGGCTGCAGGTCTGTCCTGGGCAGTCTACCTGGGACTCCCGAGCTGGACAGGCTCAAGACCAACTGCCTCCTCTACCATGTGTCCCCCTGCCCAACCCAGGGGACTAGTGGCCTCAGTCCCCATCTGTCCCCCCACCCCTACCCCATATGGGAGCAGGGAGAGACGAGTGGGCAGGAGCAGGGTAAAGGGGATAGAGGACCAGGGGGCTCAGCAGCCAACCACAGCCTGGCTTTGAGCCAGACACTTCATGGTCCTTCCTCCTGGGTGAGATGAGGATAATTATAATCCAGCTGCACCGTTGTTGAAATGATACATTGGAACTGGTCGGAACCAGAGTCTGGCACATGCTAAGAGCTCCATAAAAGTCAGGCTAAGTATTGGATGGCCGAGGTGCAGGGGACCAGGCTGGGCGATTTTCCATACCAGTTCCTGGGAAGCTAACCTCCAAGAGTGGGAAGGCCAGAGGGGATTGCCAAAGCAGGGTGAGGTGGTGGAAAGAGGGGGGTGGCAAATGGCAGAGGCTTCCCAGATCCACCCCTGTGCTGCCTGCTTCAGGGCAGGGCAGGGTAGAGGTGGGGGTGGGGCTGAGGGTGTGCAGGCTGACCAGGGGATGGAGGGAGGGAGGCCAAGCTCCACTAGAATTCCATGCAGTCTGAAGTCAGGACTCCACCTCCCCCAGGGTTTGCCCCAGCTCCTTTCTGTTCCTCCTTCCAGAACCTTCTACCCCCAACCCCATACTACCTCTGGGTTTCCCTCACTCTTTCCAACCCCACTCCATCCTGTGTCAGCTACCTGTTCCCACTCCGCTTCACGCGGCCTCACTTCCATGTCGGGGCCCGCCTTCTGCTTCTCTGCAGAGCATGGGGCAGGGGCATCCTTCTCCGAGGGACCCTGGGAAGAGAAGAGAAGATGGGGCGATTACTGACAGTGGGTGGGAAGAGAGAGCTGAGCCCAGGGGCTGCACCCCAGGGGATGAAAGGCGCTGGGAGG